TCTAGTGGGGAGTGATCGCAGGAGTGACTGTGTGTGCGCACTCTAGCTGGGAGTGACCATGTGTGCGAGCTCTAGCGGGGAGTGACCGTGTGTGCGCGCTCTAGCGGGGAGTGACCGTGTGTGCGCCCTCTACCGGGGAGTGATCGCAGGAGTGACCGTGTGTGCGCACTCTAGCTGGGAGTGACCATGTGTGCGCGCTCTAGCAGGGAGTGACCGTGTGTGCGCGCTCTAGCGGGGAGTGACCGCCCGCCCCATGCTGCCCTGTTTCAGTGGACGATTCGGGGGAGAGCACGGAGGAGTCGGAGAACTCGGTGTCGGACAGCATCGACGACAATGACGACTCGCTGGCCGAGATCAGCCGCTCCTTCCGCTCCCAGCAGGAGCTCTGCCAGCAGCTCAACGTCAACCACATGATCCAGAGGATCTTCCTCATCACGCTGGACAACAGTGAGTGCCGCTCCTCCCCAGCGCCCAGGTGCAGCCGGGCGTGGGTACTGCTGGCCTGGAACACAGAGAGCGCTTTGTTTCCAGCAGGGAGCTCTCTCCTGGGTAATCGCTGCTCACTGATAGAACGCTTGCTCGGCCCTTGTCAGTGCTCTGACGCTCATGCCAGGTGGAATGACTTATCCTCGTTACACTGAAGGGAAGGCAGGGGCCATCTGACTCAGCTGAGCGGATCTGCCATCATATCATTACTGCCTTTAGAGAACAGCTGTGCTTCTGAAGCACAAACTGGGATGCAGCCTTCACCGGCTTTACACCTTCTTATTAAACCCCGTGGCCTCGCTCTCCCCCTCTCACATGCCATCAATCCTGGTGCAGGCAGGAGCCCTGCTGATGGGCTTCTTTCATCTTTGGCACCTTCACGATGGAAGCGCTGTTTAATTCCTTAATAAAACAGGGGAAAACGTTTTCAGCTGCAGCTGGGTTGCAGACTATCTCGGGCACCTGTGTGCCCAGATTGATCAGTCCGAAACCCAGTGCCTCATTTTCATGATGCCAGTGTTAAACAGCCTTTCTAAAACAGGCTGTTGCAGCGCTTTAGGTGTCATTTACTAGGCTCCTAATGTGATGAATATGCAGTATTTTCTGGACCTCGGCACCGTTTCCTGGGAGCTTCAGTCTCGGTTCCCTTTGATCAGAGCGGTCAAATCCAGCTTCTCGGCAGCTGCGTAAGATGATACGGACTCTTCCAGTCCGTCATGTTGCATGACGTCAGCGCACCCGCCCTTAGCTGACCCCTAAATAATGCAATAAGTCTTGCTCCCCAAGATACAATTGCTCCAGTGACCCTGGTCTTGCCCTGCGTGTTAGAAGGGAAGCAGTAGGGTCTGAGTTTGTCTTCTTAGCCTCTCCTCTCTCTCGGGGTGAGCGAGTAGCCTCAGCCCCTGTCTGTGTGCGGCTGTGCAGGTGACCCCAGCCTGCGGGGGGGGAACGGGATCCCAGCGCGATGCGTCTATCTGGAGGAGATGGCTGCAGACCTGGATGGACAGGACTGGCTGGACATGGACAACATTGAGCAGGTGGGAGAGTGCTCTGGTGGAGACATGCGTTCATGTATCTCTAGATACTCCGAGCCCTATGTTGTATAGCACCTCTCACACACACGGGCATTGACATGGCACTTATACCAAATAGGCATCCTGTATTATATGTGGTGCACTGTGCCATATAAAACACATACACAGAACTTTCTTAATGACCAGGCAAGATAAACTATATTAGAACATGTGGATAGTTACAAACCACAGGTGGCCCATCTGGCCCATTTGGAGGTTTTGATCCAAGGATCTCATCCAGCCTCTTCTGGAAAGAAGCCAGGATGTCAGCTTCAACGACACGGCTGGGCAGCCCTGTGCCATACCCCCACCACCCTTGGGGTAAAAGAGAGTCTCCTATCCCAGTTTTTAAAGGCACGTGGTGTCCACTTGTGTCCTCTTGTATCTGCTTGACTGCTCGATCTGAAGAGACGCACTGGAGGAGGTTCGCTGTCAGTGCCTGGGAGGATTTGATATACTTCTGTGTTCGAAAACCAAGAACATGGAGCTCCTTCAGCCCACCGGCCACAGGATGTCACTTTAAATGCAGAGTTGGTCTGGTCGCTTTCCTCTGGTCTGATTCCTGTTGGTGTAAGAGCCAGAACTGTAATTTTAATGCATATCGCCCAAAACAAAACAGACGCAAGAAGAATATACACAAACCAGGCACCCTGCCACAGAGATGAATACCAGCAGGACACAAGGACACATGGGAAGACACCGTAAATTAAATAGAAGGAAAAATGAAGAGTCAGCAGATCACTTGTGCTTTATTCATCCAGTTATTATATACTGCACACCCATTCCTGGGATTTCTGTCTTCTCCTCTCTCCACTGCAGGCCCTGTTTAACCGGCTCCTGTTGCCAGAGCCAGGAAACCACCTGATCTTCATGACCTCCTCCAGCGCGGTGAACATGTCGGCGGACCGCGATGCTGGCGAGAAGTCTGCGGTGCCCTACCTCTACGCCTGCTATCAGAGAGCCAAGGAGGAGGTAGGGCGGCGGGGCAGGGGGCAGGGAGAGGGGGGTTTCCAAGCCTGGGCCAGGCAGGTGGTCTCGCAATGGGGAGGAGGTGTCGGGATCGAGCCCGCTTGACGACGGCTCTGGTTTGGTGTCGGAAAGGTCAGGGCTCCCTGCTTATCCGAGTCCCACCTTACCGCCATTCCTGAAAAGCTGACTCAGAGGAGCTAAGCAGCTCCAGGAGGTTCGTGTCAGTGCAGTGCAAGAGGAAAAAAACATATTCTCATCTTTTCGTACACATAAATGTAATCAGAGAATTATATCCTAGCAGGAAACGCTACGAGTTGCAGACGCCCTTAGTGAGGGAGTGGGGTGGTGGCCCAGGGATTAGCCGTGCTGCCTCGCAGCGCTGGGGCCCTGGGTTTAATCTCTGGGGTGCTGTTTGGGTGGAGTCTGTATGTTCTCCTGCGTTTCCTCTGGGAGCTCCAGTTTCCTCCCACAGTCCAAAGATATGCTGGTAGGTTAACTGGCTTCTGGGAAAACTGGCCCTGGTGTGAGTGTAAGGGCGTGTGCCCTAAGATGGACTGGCACAGAGTGTACCCTGCCTCCTGCCGCTGCTCGTCAGGTTAGGCTCCAGCGTCCCCAGTAACCATGTATTGGATAAAGTGGTTAGGAAGTGGGTGGATGAAAGGGACACTTAAGTGTGCCGCATGAGTCCAGGGTAAAAGCACTGGATTCAGGAGTGAAAATCAATGCAGGGACAAAATGATGAGAGGGGAGAAAAAGCATGTTTTCTACTTGATTTGAAGGGGAACTCCAGTCCCAATTTCTCAAACCGGATATTACAATTCAGTAACAATTAAATTAAAATTCATTGATGGTATAGAAAAATTAAACAAATTTCAAATTGAGCACAAAATCATGAATTTTGTGAAAGCACTGTAAATCGCCGTGCTGTCGCAAACCCCTGGTCTCATCCACGGACGAGAGTGAGAGTTCGCACGTATAGCGACACGAAGCGGCCCTTCTTGCTCACTAGTCACCGTAAAGACTAATGTAATGTGATGTACAAGAGAATAAATTCAGGTTGTGCAGCACACGTTTCACTGCATTGATGTTCCAACTTGATCTGCATGGCAAAGTTAACAAGTAAGTAGTATCTGTCGGCAAAACCGTCTTGAAGTCGAGAGCAATATTTCTATTGGATCAAGAAAGATGTGTTCACAGGCCTGCTTGTTTACAATGTCACAGAGCCACAACACATCCCGGGGAAATTGGGTTACCTCGGTCTGAATTGCAGAACATGGCGCATTCCTGGAAATGTAGTCTAGTTTGTGGTCGGAGGTTTTCCAAGTAACTGTGTACATTTTGTGCGGATTCTTTCTAGAAAAATAGCGTTGCAGTTCCCCTTCGCACCCCTCTGGCGGGTGCTCACTGTCCAACCGTCCAACCGCGTCCCACACGTATTGTCCCGCAGATCACCAAAGTGCCAGAGAAGCTGCTGTCGTACGCCGTGCGCTGCAAGAACCTGACCGTGTCCAACGCCCGCACTGTCCTGCTGACCCCAGAGATGTACGTCAGCCAGAACGTCTACGAGCAGCTGCTGGACCTGCTGTTGGAAGGCGTGAGCGGAGCGCGTGAGTTCCCAGGACCCTAAGGGGGGGGGCCTGGTTGGAGGGGTGTCGTGTTATTATTTTACGGAATGGGAGGCAGCTTTTCAAAACGGGACTGCCTCGATCATGCACTGCGGCGTCAGAACTTGTTGTTTTCTAGATTTGCACGGTTTAGATGGCGCGTTGTCTTCTGCCGAAGAGCGGGGCTCTGCCCTCAGCTCCGCGGGCGGCCTCGTGCATCCCCCCTTTCTGTATCCTCAGAGCTGGATGAAGTGGTGGAGTTTGTGGAGGAGGTTATTGCCGCCCTGGTGGCCGATCAGGAGGTGCGCACCTTCGGGGAAGTGATGGTGCCGGTGTTGGACATCCTGCATGGTCGAATAAAGGACCTGGAGCTGTGCCAGCTGCTGCTCTACTCCTACATGGAAGTGCTGCTGTACTTCAGCCGCCAGAGGGACATTGCAAAGGTCGGGGTGTCGCTGCCACCAGCACAGGCCGAGACAGTGAGGGCGTTTATAGCAGCACACATACTGTAGGTGCATAGCAAAGACCTCAAGGGCTGGGCTTCAGTTCAGAGTAATTTAAAAGGGCATTTATACAATTCTTGTTTTTAATGAGTTTTCTGGGCACATTCTGTTGAATGAGGAGGAGACTATTTCTCCTGTGATAGAATGATTAGTAGAACATTGTTAGATGTGCTCAAATAATTATAAGATTGTGCCATATTTTATACCATATATGTACTGAATCTGCTAAAAAAGAGTATTTTCTAAGAGGAGAAATAAAATTGCTAGTCGATTGAGATGCTGGAAGATGGTTGTTCCATGCAAGACACTGTTTGAGAAATAACCAGGTTTCAGCTTTCTTCAAGATCTCAACACCTTGCTTCACCCTGCAGGTGGAACAGACCAGCTGCCCTGGAGTTTCTCTCTGTGTTAAGTGGCGTGATCATGAAGCAGCTCAACCACAATCTCGCTATCTTTCTGGTTCCAGGTATTAGTTGAGCACATCCAGCCTAAAGACCCCAACAACGGGCTGCAGTACCAAAAGACCCTGCTGGGGGCGGTGCTGAACATCTCCTGCCTGCTGAAGACCCCCGGAGTGGTGGAGAACCATGGGTTCTTCCTCAGCCCCTCGCGCTCCAGCCCACAAGAGATGAAGGTGCAAGAGTCCAATATACACCAGGTGAGACGAGCTCTGTATCTGTCTGTGCCTGCGTAGTATTGTAGGGAAACATAGTATCTGGCTGAGGAGTCTCGAACTGTGGCTGAATATTGCAAACAAAAAGGCATACTTCTTTCATTCGTGAAAGTGCTAGTTTTCCGAGCAATCTGTGATGAGGTTTCGCATGGGGCCAGGCTGTGATTTCTTCCTGGTTCAAAGTGCGCTCAAAGGACACCCCTGACTCCCGCGGCCCTCTCTCTGCTCTGGCTCCCCACAGTTCATGGGCCAGTTCCACGACAAGCTCCACCAGATCCTGAAGAACCTGCTGCAGCAGTCCACCGAGATGCGCCACCTGCTGCTCTCCTGGCTGGGCGGCTGCCTGCAGGCTAACAGCGGGCGCGCCAAGATCTGGGCCAATCAGATGCCGGAGATCTTCTTCCAGATGTACGCCTCGGACGCCTTCTTCCTCAACCTGGGGGCCGCCCTGCTCAAGCTGTGCCAGCCCTTCTGCCGACCGCGCTCCGCCAAGCTACTGACCTTTAACCCCACCTACTGCGCCCTGAAGGAACTGAGCGAAGAGGAGCGTCGGAATCGGAATGTGCACACCCGAGGTCAGGCCAGGACGCCGATAATAGCTTGTATTCCATGATTGTAGAGTTCACTGAACTGATGTGTGCTACACCTGACATGTGTGCTACTATAAGCATGACTTAAAGGGTTGTTAAGGCATTAAGATTCTATGTGACCAACTTATGGTACTAAGACAGTTCTCTGCTGTCTGACTGAGTCCAGAGTAGCTACGACAGTTCGCTGCTGTCTGACTGAGTCATGAGTAGCTAACACAGTTTGCTCTTGTCTGACCGACTCAAGAGTAGGACCTTTGCTACTGTCTAACCAGCTGAAGAGATACTAAGTGTGCGGTTCACTCATTAATTTAGTCTTTACCGTCTCTTTGATTAAGAATTGGCACTACTAGACAATATTGTATGCTAAAACTTAAGTGGCTGGATTGTGTGCACTTGGGAGGAGTCATCCTACACTTCCTCATTCTCCCCCATGTGCGGCCACAGGGTTTGTAGCTGTGAGCCAGGATGTGAATCGGGTGGGTCTGGCAAAACAATTTTGTGTCAGGTGGTGTCAAAAAAACAACAATATTGGCTGGCGCAGAACCTCAGGCATTACTAATCCCTTGAGCTCAAAATGTTTCAAATCTCCTTCTGTCGTGTGTTTTCTTCCTGTTGCCTTGGCAGGTCTGGATAAAGAGACTTGTCTTATCCCCGCTGACCCCCAGCAGGTGGTAGAGTTCCCCCAGTCTTACAACCTGCTGACCGAGAACCTCATTCTCACTCAGTCGGCCCTTCACCTGGGCTTCCACAGGTACGTCCCGATGCTGTTCGGCTGAAACGCACGTCCCGAGTGGCCCTTCCTGTCACGTTGGCCAACTGGGTACAGTTTGTGTTCAGAACAATAACCCTCTGGCACTTACAAACCCTCTGTGATAACTCAGGGCCTTGCTTTTCCTTTTTTTTTCTCATGTGTAAGAAAAAGTAGCTAAGCATTTCAAAGCAATCTGACTCAGCTATTGTTACTGTGAGAGTGTGGAGCAAGCTGCCCCCTCCATCAAGCCATATGATTGAAGCCTATACCCTGGCTTCACTCCACAAACGGTTGGAACAGATCTCGGGATCAAGTAAGCACTAGCAACCTAATGAGTTTGATGCGCCAGGAGAACTCCTCTTTTAATTTGAGGATGCAAGCATGCCTTTGGATGACCCCAAATATTGTTTTGCTAGGATGTTATTGCATACATTTCACTGAAAATGTCTTAGTAAAATCTCTGCCTGGGTTACAGATTCTGGTTTGCAGCCCTGCTTGAGTTCTTACTGTATTGTTGCTAAGACACCTCTTCCTGTCTGGGAAGGAAGTGGCAGAGTGGCATGCATGTTTCCCCTGTCGCTGCAGCTGGTGCTCACGCTGTCTGCCGTGATCTGCCTCCCCGTCTCCCCAGGCTCCACGATCAGATGGTGAAGATGAACCAGTCCCTGCACCGGCTGCAGGGCTCCTGGCGGGAGGCCCAGCGGGGGCCCGGCCCCGGGGCCGAGCAGCTGCGTGAGCAGTTTGAGCGCCTCATGACGGTCTACCTGTCCACCAAGGCGGCCGCCACCCAGCCCGCCATGCTGCAGTGCTGCCTCAACCTGCAGGCCTCGACCGCCGCCCTGCTGGTGCAGCTGGGCCTGGGCAACGTGGGCCCCGAGCACGTCGAGCTGAGCTTCCCCTTGCCAACCGTCACCAACAACCTTCTCTGTTATGTGCCAGGTATGTGCCACCTCAGCCCTGGACCACAAAGTGTGTCAAAAATTAGGATTGCCAGCTGTCAGTATTCAAAACAGCAATGATTGTATTATAATAATTGCTTATACTTATATAGCGCTTTTCTGGATACTCCACCCAAAGTGATTTACAGGTAATGGGGACCCCCTGCACCACCACCAGTGTGCAGCCCCCACCTGGATGATGCAATGGCAGCTAAAGTACTGGCTTACGCTCGCCATACATCAGCTGTTAGTGGGGAGGAGAACAGAGGGATGAAACCAGTTCATAGATGGGGATTATTAGGAGGCCATGATTGATAAGGGCCAATGGGAAATTTGGCCAGGACACCGGGGTGACACCCCTACTCTTTTCGAGAAATGCCCTGGGATTTTTGATGACCACACAGAATCAGGACCTCGGTTTTACGTCTCATTTGAAGGATGGCGCCATTTTTACAGTTTAGTGTCCCAGTCACTATACTGGGGCATTAGGACCCACACAGACCGCAGGGGTGCCTCCTACTGGCTCCTCTAACACCAGGTATTGGCCAGGTTTACACCTTGTTGAGCTTCAGTGGGGTGCCAGCTGTGATCTCCAGATGAACACACAAACCACGTGACACTGCACCCAGCTGCAGTGAAGCACTGTTACAAACTGATGAGTGTCTTTGCCCTGACAGATCCATGAGCTGATAGTGGTTTCAACGGGAATATTTTTAACAAGAGCACCTGCGTTATCTGGGAGATTTTAGCAGGGTGTATCTCTTATGTTTGAACATAAATGTAACTAACAAGCTATATGTGCTGGTTGCGATTTCATAGAAGAATGAAGGCGGTTTAACGCTTTTAATTATAGTTTAAAGGGCAGGTACTGAGGTCAAGCTTAGAAATTCCAGCACCTCCGTCTGTAGTTGAGCTGTGGAATGTGTAGATAAACAGGTGACGTCACTTGTTGTCCAATGTCACTGGTAGGAAAACAAAAATAAAATCTGGGGTATGCTAAAATTGTTCTTAATCATAGTAAGGTAATTGTTATACATGACCAAGTTTAATGTTTTGAACAAGGAAAATGAAAGGCTAAACCATATTATTACCCATCTATAACCCAGGTTTGCACTGAGCTAGTTTTACATTGGAACAAGTAAAGGTTTATTCCAGGCTGATAAGAAACGCAGTGTTTCGGCTGTTGGAGCCTTCTTCAGTTTGCTCAAACCTGTTTTCTTTCTTCTCTTTTCAGCATGGAACAAACCGATTACTTGTTCCTAGTTTTACATTGGTTGGGAGATCAGGAAAAAAGTCTCGATAATGGATAAGGCCACACTGATTTGCCCTGAGAAACATAGTGCTCATGACAGCGATCCCAGTTAGTGGGATTTGATTTCTTCTCAGTTATGTACTGCCCGTTCAAGTCTCTGAGCTGTCGCCAATCTACGATGCAAGAGTTTTTATTTTTGTCTAACATCTCAGCTGTTTTTTTTAGCCTTTTACAGAACTGTATCTGTTTTTACATGTATTGAATTCTTTCAATTTTGTATTCCAAAAAAAAACAGAATTCTTTGCGGAGAACATGGGCGACTTCTTCATCTTCCTGCGGCGTTTCGCAGACGAGGTGCTGGAGACGTCGGCTGAGTGCCTGGAGCAGGTCCTGCACTTCATCACCGTGTTCATGGGCAGCGAGGACAGGTAGGGGGTTGCATCTCAGCATTTCTTTTAGACACACCTGGGCGTCGGCTTCGACAGCATGACTGGACAGCTTGTTCCACACTCCCACCACCCTTGGAGTAAAGAAGTACCTCCTGTCCTTGGATTTAAAGGGGAACTGCAGTCCCAATTTCTCAGACCGCTTATTAAGTCTTGGTAACAAAATATATTATTTGGCGTTGTAGAAAAATTGAACAAATCCCCAACTAAGCACAAAATCTGGATCTTTGTGAAGATACTGTAAGTTACCATGGTGTCGAAAAAGCCCTGGTCTAGCCACGGGTGAGAGCAAGAGTTCCCACAAATTGTGACATGAAGCAGCCCTTCCTGCTCACTAGTCACTGTAAAGACTACTGTAATGCGGTGAACGAGAGAATAAGTTCAGGTTGTGCAGAAGACATTTCACCGCAGAAATGTTCCAACCTGATCTGCATGCAAAATTAACAAGTAAGTAGTGTTTGTCGGCAGAACCGTCAAATACACACGATATTTCTATTGGATTAAAAGAGATGGTTTCACAAGCCTCCTTGTTCACAATGTCATAGGACCGCATCAGGTCATCTGAAATTTTGTTGCCTCGCTCTGATCCGCAGACTGTGGCGCTGCGCATACCTGGACATTTAGTCTATTTTGACATGTAAATTAGAGGTTTTACAAGTTGTGTACATTTTGCTTTCGTTGTGGTTTGAAACGCTCTCAAGGGTGCTGATTCTTTCTAACCCCAAAATACAAAAATAGCAGTGCAGCTCCCCCTTAAATGCTCTTCCGCTTTGGACCTGCGGTGTAAATCTGCATCCCTGCAAGGTGAAGATAAACCCACTGTGGGCGTGTGAGGATCCTGTAGCACAGTGCCTGTGAGTGGGTGCTTTTCTGCTTACATTGTACAGTCTCAGGCAAAAACCCCTAGACTCAGGAGAGCTAAGCATAGTTTTTGAATGTTTAAGTTCAAATCCCTGGGTTTTGTTCCACCTGAGCCACTGTTAATGTAATTAATGATCACAGTTCTCACATTTTCCGTGTTATGTGTGTTTTTAAACCTTTTGGATGTACCAGGGTTGGTAATCACTATATCAACAGCTATATCACCCTGCAACTCACACCTGACAGCCCATTGAAACCAAGCAGGTGTGAGCCTGGTCAGTACCTGAATGGGAGACCTCCTGGGAAAAATTAAGATTGCTGCTGGAAGAGGTATTATTGGGACCAGTAGGGGGTGCTCACTCTACTGTCTGTGTGGGTCCTATTGCCCCAGTATAGTGACGGGAACAATGTACTGTAAAAAAGATGCGGTCCTTTGGGTGAGATATAAAACTGTGGTCCCGATTCTCTGTGTTCATCAAAAATCCCAGGGCATTTCTTGAAAAGAGTAGGGGTGTTACCCAGGCATCCTGGCCAAATTTTCCCCTGGCCTTTTCTAGTCATGTCCCCCTTAATAATCCCCAGCTATGAATTGGCTTCATCACTCTGGTGGAGAGGAGTCCTCATTACCTGTAAAGCACTTTGAATGGAGCGTCCAGAAAAGTATAAGTGTAAGGAATTATATTATTATGATATATGATGATATATGATGATGATGACAGAGGTGTGGGCACTGTGTGAGAAGTTCTCGCGTGCCCACCGGCAGGATGAAGAACCCACACCTAAGGGCCAAGCTGGCAGAAGTTCTGGAGGCAGTGATGCCCCACCTGGAGCCCGTGGCACCCGGTCCGACCCAGTCCAGCATGTTCCAGCGCCAGAGGGTCTTCTGCTCGTACCGCCACGCCGCACAACTGGCCGAAGCCCTCATCGCGGTTTTCGTGGACATCGAGTTTACTGGTAACTCCTCAGGCAATTTCTGTCCTATAATCTCCCAGCCTACCCCAGTCCCCTGTCCCAGGTGAAGGAACTCTCAGTCACCCCGGGCCGGGTTTGAAAAATGATTTTCACGACACACTAGCTGTGTCATTTGATTTAAAAAAAAAACAATGGAAGGAAACACTTTCTTTTTTAAAAGAAGCTTTACTTCTGAAAAGGCGTTGTGTTTCTAACTGAAAAAAGAAACTGAGAGTGGAGGTCATGTTTTTTCTTTTTGCGGAAACTGAAATTGATCTAATGAAAATGATCTCTTTACTTGATTAACCAGCTGTAAACAGGAGCTACAGCAAAAGTCCCCTTGAACAAAAACGTCAGTCCGACGTTTCTCTTAGGAATGGCGAAAATTTGAGAAGATTTGAGCTCCTGTCTCCTTGGTCTTTCTGTAGTATACTCTCTCGAAACTACCTGTCAACCTTGTGGTTCTGCTGTTGCCGTGAAGCCCCTCCGTCGAAATAATCCTTTCTGTACATTACATTCTTTACTGGAGGAAAAACAACTAAAAAGGAGGAGCTGAACAAAAGATAAAACAAATTGTGATACAACTTGTTTTTGTTCGTTTCCCGCCCACATTCGTGATACAGTTGTTGACAGTTTTTTTGTCTGTTCATCTCGGGTCTCTGACGTGTTTGGTTTTTTTCTTGAAGGTCCTGGCTGTATCCTTGTTCTGCCAGTTGTCACCCACAGTGCCTGTGGGCTCCTTCATTTCCCCCTAAGCTGTCCTCCCAAGTGCCTGTTTTTTCATTGTTCTTGCTGCTTTCTGTCTAGGGGACCCCCACCAATTTGAGCAGAAGTTCAACTATCGGCGACCCATGTACCCCATCCTCCGATACATGTGGGAACAGGACAACTACAGGGAGAGTATCAAGGTACAGACACCCCCCCCTCCCTACACCGTTTTTAGTTCTGAAAAAATTCCCACCGTTTCAAAATCTGAAACTATTGCTGGTGACTGGAGTATGTGATGCGGTACAATGCAGCGATGCTCTTCTCTTACTAGGTGGATTGAACCTGGTGAGAAATGAGAGATGATTTTCGCCCGTTTGCAGAGCTCATGCAAAGGGACTTTCTGCGCGCGTTTCCTGTTTCGCTGTGTAGGGGTGACTTCCTGCTCTGCTGTGGTTGCAGGAGAAATACCCAAGGATGTGTTTGCTGTACACAACCTGTTTTTCTTTGCCACTGATGAAGAGTTTTATTCTGTCCCAGAGGTCATAAGACAAAGTAATTCAATGCATTGTTGTGACATTAACTCTAGATCTCATGGCTAAATTAGAAGGTTGTGGATCTGGTAAATAACTAGTAAGTCTTATTAAGATTTTGATGAGGAGGAGGAAGAAAATACATATTATCTTGAGCTTTTAATGGAAGCAATGTGTGAGCTGAGAGTCCCTTTTATTCTGTGGTGAAACATGCACTTGCTCAAACGCTGAGGAACGTCTGGGCGGTCAGTTGATCAGGCGTGTCGGTCTGGTCTTGTGCAGCGCTTGGCCGACTACGCCTCGGAGAACCTGGAGGCTATGAACCTCCCTCTCTTCCTGCGCTTCCTGAATCTGCTCATGAACGACGCCATCTTCCTGCTGGATGAGGCCATCCAGGTAGGAGACCCAGGCTGTACGGGCAGGAAAAAAAACAGCTTAGGCAGCTTCAATAGGAACATTATTTCAAAAGCCTAAGACACTGCAGAGCACTGGTGGTGCAGTTTGAGGTGAGTGAGAGCGTTACTGGATTGCAGTGACCGCAGTAGGGGGCGTCATGCTGACCATTAAGAATAGATCATGCAAGCTGGAGGAGCATCGACTAATTCCTGATTTGGGGAAAAAAAGGAATTGCTTCATGCCATATTTGAAATCAAATATAATCAAAATCACTTTTATTCACCAGTACGTGTCAGGTACAGGGATTTGTACCTTGGCACATGTGGAACCTGCTCAACAGTAAAAATCACACAGGTGCAAAAGGAGCATTAACATTACTGGCATAATTACATTGGACAATATACAAAAGATGAGGAGACACAAAAAGTACAGATGTGTTGTGTGCTCACAGTACAGTACAGATGTGTGGAACATGTAGACATTACAGTATATACAAGACGTTTATTACAGTACAGTGCAAATGTACAAACAATAGACAATGTAGAAGAAATATAAGAATGCAGGAAGGTAGCAGGGATGTGGGGTGGCGGGCTTCTTCATCTGCTGACCGAGCGGTGTTTGTCATTGACCAGTTAGTTTCCTTTCCTCGCTCGGCTCCTTCCCGCAGTACCTCAGCAAGATCAAGGTGCTGCAGATCGAGAAGGACCAGGGTGAGTGGGAGGCCCTGACCCCTGACGCCCGGCGGGAGAAGGAGTCCAGCCTCCAGATGTTCGGACAGCTGGCCCGCTTCCACAACATCATGTCCAACGAGACCATCGGCACGCTGGCCTTCCTCACGTCCGGTGAGAGAGAGAGGGAGTGGGAGAGGGGTGGTGGGGAGAAGGAGTGGAAAGACGATACAAGCTGTGAAACTGTAAATAGTATCACTTCAACAGAACCTTTTCCCTTGAGCCGAGTAAGAGTCATACGTTCTGTTGCTTTGTTTTAAAAAGGGAGTGACGAAATGTAGCAATTTGAATTTGAATCGGAAAAAATTGTCCCCGCCCATCAAACAACTATGGATTTTGGAAGATAGCGAATTTGCCTTTTTTATCTTCTGTCCTTTCTGTCTTTCTGGACGATTCAGAGATCAAGGTCCTGTTTGTCCACCCTCTCCTGGCCGAGAAGATCATCTTCATGCTCAACAACTTCCTCCAGCACTTGGTGGGTCCCAAGATGGGCGCCCTGAAGGTGAAGGACTTCAGCGAGTTCGACTTCAAGCCGCAGCAGCTGGTCTCGGACATCTGTACCATCTACCTCAACCTTGGGTATGTCTCCCAGCTGTGGGCGTTCACCTGTTCTTTCTTTGTGACCGGTGTGGGAACATGAACAAGATGCCCTTTTTTTCTACCTGTTATCCAGTCAGTCAGCGCTTGTTTCCCCATCACAATGTCTGAGTAGCTTCTGCAGGAGACCAAACTGTATGGCACTCCTGCCGAATCAGGTTGTGTTTGATTCCATTCTAAAATAAACTCCATTGTTTTTATGACCACCCACCTGGAAAGCTTGGGTATGACGCTGCAGAGGTGATGCGCCGCCTCGAGCGAGCATTTATTTTCCTGTCCTCCCCCAGAGACGAGGACAATTTCTGCGCCACAGTCCCAAAGGACGGACGCTCGTACTCCCCTACCCTCTTCGCCCAGACCGTCCGCGTGCTGAAGAAGATCAACAAACCGGGCAGCATGATCGTGGCCTTCAGCCTGCTGGCTGACAAGATCAAGGTGAGTCCCGGGCGTGAGTTGATCCGATCTGCTTGGCGGCGGAGACAAAGTGAGGCTTGCGTCCATATTGGCCTGTCCTGCTTCTCCCAGAATCCTCCAGGAGGGCCTCCACTGTCCTGACCTGACATTAGTATATGTCTGTGACGATTTAGTAAGTGAAAACTGGGCGATTCCTTTCGGAACAGCGATTTCTTACCCCCCCCCCCCCACGTTGTTCACCTGCCTCCAAGCTTCATTAAAGAGTCAGCATATCTTTTTTATTTTCTCTTTAGCTTTTCAGCAGAGGCAAATGCAGGAACTGCTGTGTGTTTTCACTCGTGCTTTGGTCCAGCTTGTAAAATGACCATCCCATTGGTCGTTTGTGAAGCGCCTGGACAGAAAAATGGGGACAGGTGAATGACTGTCCCAAGTTGTGGCTTTAAAACAAACAGCATAACTTCGGTTTTTGAAATCCTGATCTTTGGCTGCCCCGTTAACGATGGCAATGCTTTGCGCCCAGTCTGGTTTTATTGCCACCCGCTATGAGAAGCCACTCACCCTGTGACTGTATCCCTGTTTTGTTGTGCCCAGTCCCTGGCTGACATTCAGCAGCAGGAGGAGGAGACGTACTACGACGCCCCCGATGAGTTCCTGGACCCCATCATGAGCACCCTGATGCTGGACCCCGTCATATTGCCCTCTTCCCACGTGACCGTGGACCGCCCCACCATCGCTAGGCACCTGCTGAGGTCTGCCTCTCCGCCCGTGTCTCTCGGAAATCCGGCGTGTTCGCTTCTAGGATCAGTGCACCTGGTTTGACGTGTGCTTGCTTTTTTGTAAGAGAGTAGTCAGTGTAAAAGGTGAAGGAACAAGTTGACCCGTCTTGCCTGTTGGGTTACTCGCGGTTTATTGGTCAGGGGATCTTATTCCTTTTTGCAAAAGCCTCCCAGGAAACCGGCTTCAAGTGAGTGTGTGTCTGGTCATATCCGTGTCTGACTCTGTGGCTGAGTTTCTAATTGAGCTTTGGAAATTTTCAAACTGAAGGCAAATGTTTGGGTTTTGTTATAGCTTAACGCTTTTATCCCAACTTTTTCTTTGGCTCACTGGAGCGGTGCAGCTTAAAATGAAAAAAAGACACGCGGTGATATATTTTAAGGTGCCATTCTCCATTAATGGGGGAAAAATATTTGGCTTCGTTTCCCAAGTTTCGCTTTGTGGTGTTCCCTCCAGCGACCAGACGGACCCGTTCAACCGCAGCCCCCTCACCATGGACCAGATCCGGCCCAACGCGGAGCTGAAGGAGAGGATCCGGCAGTGGCTGGAGGAACGTAAACAGGAGAGGCTGCAAATGGGGCCTAGTGGGTAGCCTGGCAACCGGCCTGCCGTGCCCCTCTTCAGGAACACTACAGCATCCCGCCCCCCACTGCTGCAGCCTTCCCGCACGCGCTCACTTTCGCCTTCTGACATCATCCCCGCCGACAGGATGTGGATCCTTCCACCTGGAAGGAATTCAGAACAGGACATGGGGGTGTGGGAGGGCGCTGGCCTGTAATTTCTTGATTCAGACATCCGTGTTTGTGCCCAAATGCCTCATGCAGGTTAGTAAGGGACACTCCAGAAGAAAGAGGCATTCAACTGGAGCTTAGTGCTGAAAAGAATAGGTTTACACGGCTAAAATGATTGTTTATTGGCTAGAAAGGATCTGCATCTGGAGGGCCAAAAGTCTGACATTTACAAATGAATTATTATCTCTGAAGCATACCTTTATTTTAAACACTAGCCTGAGGTTCAGACATGCATTGCCTGCGGGGAAAAGTCTGTCAGGATGTTTAAACTCATGGAATACCTAAATATCTATGGGTTTTTTTTGCAGCTGGAGCTTGGTGTTGTCACATGTTTTTCTTTGAGGTATCCTGCACAGCAATTGAGACCTTCACACAAAACCAACCTTCACATGTCTATGACGCTGACTGTATTCAGTAGCATATTATTTGGCCCCGCTTAGGCTGTAGATAAAACATTGTATAGGGAAAGAATACAGAAATATTTCATGTATTGTTGATAGTATATATACAATTTCTGGATCAGGTAGGCAAATATTTAGCATGGTATCCAATCTACTATATGTTGATTCAATTCAATTTTAAAGGCAGCCTGTCTGGTTTTGGTCAGATCCATAAATTTCCATCAGGTTTTCCTTGGGCGTCTCAGTTGTAACCAACACCTTTACTTCCGAAAAATGTGCTGATTTCTGACCGGTTTGGGGAGTGACTCAGTCAAGTGTGGACATGCAGACTGTCGATTCATGCAAAAACCAGAAACTCTACGTGAATCTTCAGATGTAACAAACCCTGAAAGAGACTGGGGGCCCTTTTAATCTGGCAGGCCATTTCAGATGCTTAACAACTGGGCTTCGGCAGTGCAGCAGAGTTCTCATTCTTTGTGATACGAAAGTCTGGAGTATTGCAAAAAAAGGCAAATGTGAATCCATTGTTTCCGTTTATTTTGGTGTGTTCTGTGCCTGTTGGAAGCGAGTAAGGCAGCAGTCTTCAATTATTTTTTGTTTTGAAATCTGTCATTGTTACTGGAATGTATGGTTATTTCTGTATTGTATGATGAATTGCAAGCTGTGGCTTCCATTTGTGCTTAAACGGAGGCACAGGGACTCGTTCTTAAAAGCAAAGGAATTTCCCTGATCCTGTTTTTTTTTTTTGCGGTGCTTTGGCGATTTAAATATGTGTTCACGAGGTTTCGGTTTTTGGACATTCTGGGCTCTGACAGTGTAAACCACAGAGTTTAGTCATGTTTTTTTTCTTCCCTAGGCGAACCCAATGACCTCGGTCAATCAATAAATAAAACCATCAGGAATCCAGAGTCCTGTGAGACCAATTACCCTCCTGACCGGGGTAAAACCCATCTCACATTGCTAACAACTAACATTTGCTGTAAAAATCATTATGTACTGTAGTTGCTAAACCCCAATCCTTACCATAGGCTTACTCATGCCTCAACCCTTTCCCTAAGTTTGACAGTGTCAAAAAATGTGTTATTACTGTTTATAACAACATTAGTAACATGTTAATGATTTCTGATAACTTACCCTGTGTTGCTAGCGTCCCAGTCGCTTCTTTTATGCTTCTGCCTGCTGTAATACAATCAGCCAAGGAGTCTCTTATCAACACCTGCCCTTGAACATGCACTGTGACTGTGCTGGGTCCGGCATCAATGTTTTAAATTGCCCTTTCTGATGAATCAAATGAGGAAATAGTACACAGTTTATATTGTTGGGATGCAGATTTAAAACGAGGGGGGGAAGGAAATTAAAGCTATTCTCCTATAAGAAACCCGTTTCATACAGAAAGCATCAAGAGCCTCATCTCGTGTTGAGTGCCCTTTAAGAAATCAAAGTGGAGTAAATCTTTCTGTTTGTGAACTAAATGGCGGGTTTAGTTAATGGGATGCAATAGAGTGTTGTCAGAAAGACTCCTTTTACAAGCATTTCAATTTGAAGGGCAGTGGCGTAGGATTCTGGAAAGAATATATAACAATGCCAAGATTTTCCTCATGCCTGATATTCTGGTGGACGGAGAGACTGACAGGTGTCCTTTTGGTTTTATTTCAAGGAAGTTATAGAGTTCACGAAGGAGTTCAGATTTCACAGCGTGAATGAAACAGGAAGGCTTTGGAACTTTACTTCTAATATTGAGAAAACTGGCTTTAGGTTAGATGGAGGAAATCTTGAAACATGCAAATTTACTTTATTTTTCAGTAGTTTAAAGCTCATGTTGGTGGTTTTTTTTTGCCTTTACTGGGAAAGAAGCAAGGGAAGGCACAGTGCAGAGAAAAAGTTAAACCTTTCATGTAGCAGTGACATGCTTTCAAGATAGGCTCTTTAGAAAATAAAAATACAAAAATTCTATAAATAAGAATTGTAAAAAATCATTATATGTATTATTTTTAAGAATTTTATTAAAGCTCATATTGATTGCTTCAGTTTCTTGCATTTCTTTTCTACTTCGATGGTACCTTTCTCATTCCACAGAAGCTTGGTATCTTGTATTTAGATTAGCAGTGTTATGTGACTGCCGAGTGTGTTAGTAATGCTGTCAGGATGAAACAAAACCAGAATTATACCATTCTAAGGCAGTGGTGTACAGCTGTTGTCCTAGAGAACCCCAAGCCTTTTAGATCTGTCTCTTCAGATGGGGATTAACATATGTTGGCACTTCTGGTAAGAGAGAACCCTAGTCTTGAGGGTGAATTTTAGGACTTAAAGTTGCATGTTAAAAAATTGGTATTTTAGGGATTATCCAAATAATTGTACCCGACAACCTGGAATATAGTATATTTATAATATTGCATTATCATTAGTGATAATAATATGGCCAGCAGCCATATCACCCTTCATCTCACAACTGGCAGCCCACTGAAGCTCAGCAGGTGTGAGCCTGGTCAGTACCTGGATGGGAGACTACCTAGAAAAAAAAAACCTACGGACTCTGCTGGAAGAGGTGTTAGTGGGGCCAGCAGGGGGCGCTCACCCTGTGGCCTGTGTGGGTCCTAACACCCCAGTATAGTGACAGGGACACTACACTGTAAAAAGGCGCCGTCCCTTGTATGAGGTGTAAAACTGAGGTCCCGACTCTCTGTGGTCATTAAAAATCCCAGGGTGTTTCTTGAAAAGAGTAGGGGTGTTACCCCCGTATCCTGGCCAAATTGCCCCCTGGCTTTTGCTAGTCATGTCTCTTTTAATAATCCCCAGCTATGAATTGGCTTCATCACTCTGCTGTCCTCCCCACTGAGAGCTGGTGTGTGGGCAGTGTACTGGAGCATCATCCAGGTGGGGCTGCACACTTCTGGTGGTGGAGGGGAGTCCCCATTACCTGTAAAGTGCTTTGAGTGGAGTGTCCAGAAAAGGGCTGTATACATATAAGCAATTATGATTAGTAGTAGCATTAATGGCAGCAGGATAGACACTACTCCTCCACCCCATTTCTAGACATTGGAATTACAATCTGTCAGCTATCATTACCTCAACCTGCATCAAATAATAAGGCCTATTATTAAAGCTCATATTGCATGCTTTATCAGCATCTCCCTGCTGCCTGATAAAAAAATACTTGTGTTATACTTTAAGTTACAAATTACCCTTATTGCGTGGAAAGGTTCAAGTCAGAGCTTGTTTCAGAACAGACTGAAGGGTTCGACAGTGGTGTCCTTGGCACAATGTGTGTTCCATGATTCTCTATGTGTGATCCATTTATAGAAAACCGGGCCTATCATCTGAGCCCCAGTATTACTTATTCCTAAAAAACTCAATTTCTCTCAAAGCTGGAATGTGGTTGTCACTCTTTCCTTACTTAAGTAGTTAAAAAAAGAATCAGACGTCCGCGTTTTAAAGTAAGACCGCGATACATCTGTACATTTCTGACAAAGACTTGTTTTTTCCGATCTGTAGAATTCACATCATATCGTTTATTTTATCCAGTGCCACTGCAGCAGTCAACCCATATTACACACGCACACTCGATGTCGCCATCTTTAAATTGTCCACCTCACTGCCTATATTTTTTAACAAACAGTTTTATTGTAATTTAAAAGATCTGTCCATAATATCTTCAAAAATGACAAAAAATATGTATAGGCTCGCGGATAACATTTTCTTTTATGAGGTCTTTATAAAGAAGATGGCGGATTTTATAGCAGGCATATGTGTGGACGTCAATCTTCTGTGGGTCCTTGGAGTGGAGGTGACATTCAGTTCGGACAGAGTTGGAACCGGCGAAGGTGTCTTATGCTGTTTTAAAGCAGAAATTGAAGTAAAACCTCCCGGATAAAATGGCACAGGCGGCCCAAAGACTCGTTAAATCCGTGGTCACCAAGACACCACAATTAATAAGCGGTGAGATTCATTTTGTTTTGAAATTGCAATAGTCAACTATTCTGAGTATTACAGGGAGGTCTGTCCATTTAGGCCAGACCTTTGGTTAAAATTACAAAGTAGTTTATACAGAAATTAAAGCCTATGCATTTGACTTTCTATTAAACCATTCTACGGATATATCTTGTTTTTAAACTTGTATTTAAACCGTGCACGTACCTATAGACTACGGTAGTTTGGAATTTAATTCTGGCTGCAGCGTACGATCAAAAAACCGGGTTGCGTACGACATATGCATTTATATAAAATAGAAAACAAAAACTTAATCATTTTAAAATCAAATGAGTTACCACGACGTTCAATATATTGAAACTGTGCGACTCATTGTATTTTTTCCTTGGCCAAAACAACAAACGTTTTTGTTGCCTTGGTTGTGAGCCGGCCTAGCTTCCAGAGTTTCTATTATTTTTACTAACCCAACAAACGGGAGGTTTGACATTTTGATCTGCCGCAGTTCAAATCATTCTGCTGGAGCACTTGGCTCAACTGCTGAACCCTGAATCCTGGAGTCCTGCACTAATCAATCTTTTCTCAGTGGGTTCCGAGGAGAGCTGCCGTCTGCATGTACCGGTGGTTTAACTGTAGTGTTTTCAGTGGCGAGTGTTGTTCTTTTCCAGCAAGAACAGACACCTTCAGTAATAAAAAAACAAAACAAGAGGAGTATTGCTGTGTGATTTGCAATGATGTCAGATTAACATGCTTTTTTCCTGGTGGCGTGCAAAGGGAACAGTGGTCAAGGCTACCAATGAAAACTGGGTTAGCTGATGCCCAGGAAGGCTTTCTGCTATGGTTTCTCACTGATAGGAGCCACTGATGCTGTGTTGCAGTGCTTTCACATAGTCCCGTTGAGATTAGCGATGTAGTTTACACTGCCGAGGAGCAGAATCCTCTCAATATATCGCACAATGCCATATATCTTTTTTAAAGAATTGGAAAATTGAGTGATTTTACAAAATACACATTTGAGTACTTTGCAGGAGCACAGTGCCTATATTCGGTGCTCTCGTTCACTGAGATTCCCTTCTGCCAGTCCTGATACAGCCTCTTGATTTTCTTGTACTGTCAGACCTGAGAAATGGTGAGTAGCACATGTGCAGCATGAGATTCCCAAAACATGGTCAACGTGGCAATGATCTTCTTTAGCAAGATTATATAAGAGCATAGAAAGCCTTCATCAGACCCGAGGCTAGTTTGTGTGGTTGCTAAAACCAATGTGAGGATTTCTTCCAGCCATTTCTTGAAAGAAGCTACGCTATGAGCTTTGAGACACCACGGCTGGGTAGCTTGTTCCAGACTCCTGCAACCCTTTGCGTAACGGAGTGTCTGCTGGTCTCAGATTTAAATGCACTTCTCCTTAATAATAATCACCTACGCACATCTTTCACCTTCCTGCAGGATCTTCAGGGTTTCCAAGACGGAAGGGAGGACAAAAGATGGTTTGTAGTGAAATAGTTTTCATGCACTGCCGTTTTTGCCTCACGCCCTGCTTGTCTTGTGTTTTCAGCTACAGTGAACTACTCCAAGCCCCGGCTGGCCACATTCTGGCACTATGCCCGCGTTGAGCTGGTTCCCCCCACCCCTGCAGAGATCCCCCAGGCTATCGAGAGCGCCAAGGGGCTCGTCAAAGCTTTCCAGACTGGCCGACTTGCCCAGACCACAGTCAAGGTACTGTACGTGCAGCTCCCGGTGACTCTCAGTGGGTTGGCTTAAAGGCCGAAGCTCAGTTGACCATCTACAACAACTCTGCATTCATTTTGTTGCGTTAGAATTGCCGTGTGTTCCTGCCTTCCTGGTTAGGAGAAGAAAATTTGGGATTTTTCCCACCGGCTTTCAGGCATGAACGCTGTGTCCATGCACTGGGGAGATGGCTCTAATAGCCAACACCACCTTCAAACCACTTGTCTCCTAATGTGTCCCGGGCAGTACAGCCCCATGTGTAAGTTCACAGCCATTTGGATGTGAGGTGCATCCCTCACAGAGGGCACTGCATGCCGGCACGTGCCCAGGTGGCCACAGGGGTGACTGTGTCGTCAGGAGAGCCCTGGCGAGCTAATCCCTTCCTGCCCAGGGCTGAGCTCAGCTACCTGTGTATCGCTGGCTGGGGAATCCCGATCCCAGACAGCCAGTGTCATGACCCAGGCTCGAACCCTTGATCAAAGAGCACAATCTGCAGTTGGGCAGGCACTTTTCCTGGCTGGGCCACACAGGGTGCTCTCAGACTTTTTGTTGGGAGAGCTGTATATACATTGTTAGGAATGAAGCGATGAATGTTTTGTTTTAAGTTGAAAGTTTACAAGAACCCCCAAATCAAAAGTCGGGGGGTGTTCTGGACATTTCCTGTCTCTGAGCAGAAACATATGGGGAATTCTTTAAGCAGTCTCCCCTCTGGGATGTTTGATCTCTTATTTTGCACAGGGCTTAAGCAGAATTATTTCATGCTCTTGATATTTTTAATTATGGGAATTGTAAAAGAGTAAACCTATTCATTTGAACAGTTAAGAATGATGTCTTAAAGGAAATTATTCTAGACCCAGGACTGGATATAAGTGTGGCTTGTTATATACAGTACAAGTTAATTTTGCTTTAACTTTGTTCATCTGGTGTTTTATTGTAGAATTGACAGTAAACTGTTCTTTGCCCTGCTCCTAGGACGCCTTGAGGAACGGCCTGGTCGCCACAGAAGTGCTCATGTGGTTCTACATTGGAGAGATCATCGGGAAAGGCAGTATTGTTGGATACAATGTGTAAAACATGAACTGTTCCATTGTAGAGTTTTTCTGCTGAGCTTTGTACACGCACTCACCTCCGGGTCCAACTGCTTGGAATCCAATAAAATCTGTATGTTCAACGACAGTACTGTGTGTTGATGTTCCTTTTGCTGTAGCTGTCAGAATGTTCCATCCTGCTCTGCATATTTACGAGCACGAGTGTGTAACCGCGTGTGACTCAGGTTTCTGTTTTTTCAGGCCTCGATCTGAAGACGTGGACAAACTCCTTTCTTGCACAGTCAAAATACATTTCTAGTATTAGATTATTTTATTTATGAGCACCTTTAAAGGAATTCAGAAGCGCGGTATGAATCCAATGTATGTTTCCTGAGGATCGTATCTCAACAGCAGGAATATTAATAACATAAACATATAGAAACAGCTGGTTTCTATATGTTTAGAATTTTAACTTGGAACAGCTTTGCAGTTTTCAGGGCAAGTTGTGCATTTGGAAGCAGCTGGACCAGTAAACTTTTCTCTTCAAAACCTTTGGTATTCTTTACTGTTCTTGGCTTATGCACATTTACAAAGTTGCTTCCAATGCACCATTAGTTCACTCTCTTGATAAAATGTAATGTATAGTCACTTGGATTGATCTTCCGTGATTAATGATGCTGTGGGTTCCAAAGACACTTTGCAGGGTTGTCGTTGGATGAATATCACAATTTCTTGTTCTTCTCGTTGGCTCACACAAGCAGCTCCTGAATTTTCATATTGAAAATGTGAATTTCAATTGGTTTATGCGGGTTTATTTCTAATCCCTTTCACTGCCATTACATATGCCTCTGAAGGCAGGACAATAGTCCAGATAACTAGGTATGCAAAACAACCCATACACTGAATCCAGTCTCCGGGCCACACAAACTGCAGTTAAATGATACTGAGTGTTAAATATAGGAGAGACATCATCTCTATAGTCCTTGTGCCTACCCACACAGGTGCCACTAAATCGTGTACAAATTAGTAGTAAACATGCCTAAATATTGTAATATAGTACTTGAAGCTCACTTGTAACAAGTGCAAGGTGTTCGATACCTGCATCGTTCATCGTTGTTTTCCCTCACCTTGCTATGATTCTGCACGAGACATAATTATCGCCTTTGCTAATCAGGTGCGCCCCTAATAAATGCGAGTGTTTGCGCAGGTACGCCTTCTGGAGCGTTTTTTTTTTTAACAGATGCTCAGAGGTTGAGTCTGTTTTACACGGCTGGTGAGGTTATGTCTTGTTTTTGCTTTTCGAGGCGAGAAGTATCGGGACTCGACGAAGGGAGCAGTCCAAGTCCAAGTTCAAGCGGAATCTGGGGAGAAGATGTGTGCTTTGTGGCGACTGGGTTGCTCTAGTCTTCCTAACCATGTTAGTGTGTTTTTCTCCATCTCTGACCACTCTATTGGGTTATTCTACTTTTCTGAGATTTCTATGTCATTCCAGCTTCAGTTCATCGGGTTGGAACGGGACTGTTCAGCTTGTTGCATTATGCGAGCCTTTTAAAAGTCTTGTGTTACGCACGACGCTGAGTTGCATGGGCAAGTCTTTAAAAAATGTCTTGAAAACGTAATTTAATAAAGGTCCAAGTGTTCAATACTCCATTGGCCTTGATGTCGTTTCTCCTCCGCTTAGAACTTTCCTCTGGTAGGATCTGTAGTGGACCTGCTCGCTGAATGGAAATGTGCGGAGGTTTAGGTGGCGAGTCCGGCCAGTGAATTGAGCTCCCTTGACGTTTCTTTCAAACGTGATGCGTGAAGCGATAGTTTTTTTTCCCCGTTTGCACGCCTGCTACTTAGTCTTTCTGGATTCAGCCAGTGTATGTTTTTATTAAACGCACCACAATAAATCGAGGATCTGTCCCACTTTCGGGTTTCTAAAGATCGATTTCATGCTTTAAAGTTATTCGAAATCTCGTGTAAATATCGCAAGGTTGCTAACCCCCCCGCGTCCTTTGGTTTACCCTGGCTGTGTATAGAGCATAATCTTGACATGGTTAATTATACTTGTAATTGTTCAGCTTTTGTTCCCGGGCCCAGCCCAGGACTGCGCATAGACGAGCACAGCGCAAGTGCCGTTTACGGAAGCGTTATGGAAAACACACGATCGGGGCTCCCCTTCATCCCCGCCCTGGAATCTGAATACGACATACTGTTGCTGCGCTTATGTAATGGTTGCTTGGTGAATACACAGGTTCGGGGCCGCGCCCCCTCAGCACCCTGATCTTAGGGCAAGCAGGCAGAGTGTAAAATGGCGCACAGCTGTCGGTGGCGGTTCCCCGCTCGGCCCGGAGGGAGTAGCAACGCGGGCAGCGGGAGGAGAGCGGGCCGGATCAGGGTCACCGCCTCGCTCCGGACTGGCTCCGGGCCCCAGCCGAACGCGAGCGGGCTCGGGCCGGGCTTTGACGCCGCGTTGCAAGTCTCCGCTGCCATCGGCAACAACCTGCAGAAATTTCGGGATGTTTTTGGGGAGGCGAGTGGCTCCAGCAGCGGAGAGGTAAGACAGCGGCGAGCTGGGGAGACAGTGGCACAGGGCGGGCTGGGTGAGCCTGCCTCCGAGCGCCTCCCGCATTGACCTCCGGGTCCAAATGCTGCAACTTTTTTTTCCTGCTACCATCTTCTCTGATCATGTGCTGTTTTCCTCCCAGGCGCTGGGGCTGATCTTAGTGGCGAACTATTTCAAACGCGTTAAGTGATGTTTGGAGAAGAGGAGGAAAAGCAAAAAGGTGGTGGGTGGGAGGTCTCGTTTGATTCAGTTATTTAATGGGAAAGGACGGATTTGATGGGAAGCAGATACGGGATGCAGCGCAAGTTTATTCCGGGGTTGTGCCGTTGTTTGGGAAGGGGAGGGGGTGCTGGTGGGGGTGATAAGAGCTGGGATACAAGCGATCTTCATCCCCCCCCCCCCGCGTTGGGGCAGTTAGGGGCTGCTGCAGATAGATGCTGCTCCGAGGGGCTTTTACGATCGGCGCGGCTCCCCTCCATTGTGCGGCGCTCAACTTTGCGCCGGGGACTGGACGGGCTCCGCACGGTCGGCGGGTCTGGGGAATTTTGCAGCTGCGTGGTTTCGCGTCGCCCGGTCCGCCTGAGCTTGCGGGGCTGAGCCGAGAGGGAGGGAGAGAGAGAGAG